TTTTACATTAAAAGTCACACGTTTTCAAATGCATTGTTATTTCAATTAGTATTATTAAAAATAAGCATGGCAGCAGCTGGCACGCTGAGGCCCAGTACTGAACACCTGCAGAGAGACAAAGTAAACAAACCTGAGCTGTTGCCTGTGTCACACGGGCATACAGCGGGTTCTTAGTGGAGCTGAAGAGTAAGGAGCACACCGGCATCTAACCGGATTTAAGGGACATTTGCAGGTACGTTCACATGTTTTATGTTCTGCGGCTGAGCAGCTAATTAGCTATCTAGCCTGCAAATTGACGATAATGGTGCACTTTAGCTCGGTGAATGTTTGTTTGTTCCCTCGTTCAACAAGCTCAGGTCCAGGACAAGATGTGTGCTTTAGTTTGTAAGTAAGATAAGAAGGACACTTGAGCCGGACAGACGATCAGAGTCTGTGGCTATAGAGTTGTGTAGATTGCTGCCGTCTGGCCACCACTGGTACGTCACTGCTTTATGCAAACATTTGATAGACGGATATCTCCAGCATTCACACTCATTAATGCAAAATTGGGGGCGCCAGTCTAAAAAAAAAAGTACTATAGAAACAAAAAAACATTGAATATAAAGGTCTCCCTTTTAGTTTCATATTGTCAAGATGTTTAAGTTCCACTGTGCTATAATAATCTAAAGATGTTTGTCTGGTTACTTGCCCAAATACCCAACTTGCTTTTCCTTAGTCCAGACCGTTGAATCAGTTTGATTCGTCTGGCATTATGACACGACACAGCGGTTATTGGTTAAAAAACAACCAAGCCAAAAAGCACAGCAGGGGGACTAACGATTAGCCAATGAGGGCCATGGGCGGGACTTAACGTATAATATAATGATGAGCCGGACATTGATCGCTAACTTGCTTCAAATTGGCAGCACCATATTCCGCTAAAGCAGACCTCTCTTAATGTCAGCCACTGTGAACATCGCTTCTCCAAGAATAATGCTCTGCCAGGAGGATCTGGAAAAGAAAAGACAGGTGCACATCCTCTTCTCTCTGTTCGGCTCTGTTCAAAGAAAATATGGAGGAAAAAAAAAAGTCTAATCTGGGCATAACTGTCTTACGCTGGTCTTCGGGAACCTCGATAGGCTTCCAAACATCAAAGTGACCATTCACATTCTGAGGTGCTTCACTTTTTTCACTCGCCATGAAAGAACACCATCAAGGGGATAAAGACCTTGTAAAAGACATGTCTGTGAATGATATGAGAAGATGAAAGCAGCACTCTGCCACTCACCCTGTTCACCCCTCTCCACGAGTCGCCTTCACAGGGAGAGAACACACGTTCCACAAACTAAACCAACTGCTCAAACACAGCCTAGAAGATCTTTTAGCAGCATTCAGTAAATCTACCAGACGATGGCAACAGCTTCCTGTTGCCCTCATATGGACACACAAGTCCAGAAACTTTTAAATCTACCGTTCAAACTGCTTCATATCTCGCCATGCATCACTGCTTTTCTATTTTCTATTTGTGTAACCACGAAAGAAAGCTCAATGGAAACAATCAAAAAGCATTTGATGCAGGAGGCGCGGATGATTGACAGGGTCATCTTTTTGCGTCCGTCTTAGCTTCACCAGTCCTGGATAAAGAATCCTGAAAACATCTTGCGGCTTGACACTTCATTCATCATAGAACAGGAAAGAAACAGAAAACGACAGGGCCATGTGATGTCGACAGAGGATGAGTTGAAGAGACAAGCACAATATGGTTCAGCAGACGGAGATCTACGAGTCCGTCGCCCTGATCCTCTCTGTATGCGAAACCCCACCCCGTGCTGAATAATCTGTGTGTGTCAAAGGAAATGATCAGCATGTTGCTATAAAACAAAAACGGAGCAAGGGATGAGTGAGGTTGCATCCACTAGTCTCTGCATCGTAGGGGTAACTACAAAAATACTGTGAAATGAATCCATCATCTGGATCTGAACTAATCTTCCGGTCATGAATCCATATGTCTGTGAGGCATCGAGAAGACTTCTGTACAGGATGGAAGCGCTGATTGGTGGAGTCAAAGCCAACGGCTGTGTCTGCAGGGAATGTCAGTCAAAAGGGTAAAAAGACATAGTCTATATATATACAACTGCAGTCGTTACCAGACATGACATTTTGTGCCTCAGAGGCACATTGTGTCATGTTGTATCAATTTATTTCTTTTTCAAATCAATCATACAACTGGTGCATTATGCATTCAGACTCTACTTCAGTCCTTGTGTATAACATTGACTTGACGGTGATATCAGTGAGAGATGGGTCAAGTCGATCTCTGCAATTTGGGGAATTATATCACAGTGAGAGATAGCATGACTTAAAAGAACTGCAGCTAATGCATTCAAATGAATACTAATGGGAAAACAGCAAATATGACCTTCATTCTAAGAACTGTTACATTCTATCAAACCCTTGAGTTGTGTACAGTTGTTGTGCATTGTGTGTGGACAGTGGTGGAAGAACTACTCCTTTAGATCCTTTACTTAAGTCAAAATAGCAGCACAACCCTGTGTAAACACTCCGGTAGATGTCCCGCCTTCACTATTTACTTGTACTTAAGCAAAGGTACTGTCATCAAAATGTACTTAAAAGTAAAAGTAATTGTCCTCTGTGACTTATGTATTAATATACTGTATATGACTTTGTTTGATTGTTAATATTGATTCATGCATGGGCAGCGTTTTAATGCTACAGCCGGTGGAGAAAGTTTGAACTACTTTATATACAGCACAGTCTAGTCCTGTTGATCCTAGCCCAGGGGCCGGGCCCCATAAAGACGGACACAAGATAAATCTGTGCTCCTATTTTCAGACTTTTCCCTCGTCTTTGCTTTTAGTAAATAATGCATGCTCTTATTTATTTAGGCCTCAAACCATTATTGGAAGGATCCCACTTTGAGGGGAAACGTCTCTGGAACTGCTAGCAACTCAAATACATTTGAAGTCTATGAGAAAATGACTCTACTTCTCTCTTGATTTATTACCTCAGTAAACATTATAAACATGAGTTTATGGTCTCAATCACTAGTTTCAAGTATTCTTCAATACAGCATGATGTTGACCATAAAGTATGGTCCCTTTTAGATTATAATAGATGATAAAGCTGAGTATGCTTTAGGGCGGAGCTACCTTGTGATTAACAGGCATCTACTGCAACCAGAGCCATACACGCTGTCTCTACGTCGTTTCTCTGCAGTGCAAATATGGTAACTTCCGCTCTGGTTGAAAAATAACTCAGATGGCCACGGCGAAAAGCCAAGCTGGTGACGACCAAAGTGCCGAACTCAAGGCTTCAAAAGCGCAGTCCACAAAGCAATGGGCGGCGTCACGATGTCGACTGAAAAGACTCGAGTCGAATGTATCACTACATATTTTACATGTTCATGTAACTTTTGATAGTAGTACTTAGTCTGGCAAAGTTCGACACACTGAAGCGTTCCACAGGCAGAGCAGTGTGGGGGGAGGGGGTAGATGGATTACCAGCGTGGTACCTTGAGATCAAAATCTCTTACGAGAGACTCCTGGAAATGTTAAAACTGCAGCGCTTTTCTGTGGCAGAAGCTCCTTTATTCTCTGGTGTGATTTGTATATTTAATTAAAAGCTTGCAGTATACAGTAAGAAAAAAAACAAAAAAAAACTGCCAAAAAAACATAAACAAGACATAATCCTTCACACTGATACGGTACACTGAAGCAGCTCAGTCAAAAAAGAGCAGGACGGAGAAAGGAGTGTGGTCCAACGAACCAGCAATCATTAAACAGTGATTCCACTGTGGGTATGACACCACTCATAATAAACGAACACCTGACCTGTGCAGTGTGCAGAGCATTTTAAATGACCACAATACATTATCTCACAGCAACACAGGCGGTGTTGTTCGGGAAGCTAATTTGAAACATGTATTCAACTCGTAAATTCTGAGGTGGTCTGATTCTCAACATAAAAACAAGAAATCTGTTGAAGAAAGTTGAATTCACTTGAAATGAAATTGCACTTTGAGGAAGTATTAGTTGGTTCCACTAAATTCCTGCGTGACGTTTTGCAGCGTGTTTTATTTCACAAACAAATAAAACAGCACCTCTAAATGCAACTTTTTCTTTGGAGGTCTGAAGTGATGTTTATTTTTTTGTGGTTAAAAATGCTGGTGAGCTGATCCTAACAGCTCACTTCTGCACAGGGAAGATTATTTGTAGTGAGCTGAGTGATGAGCCGTTTGGCTCCGTCTGAAAAGATCTCTTTCCGCCCCCTAATTCCCCTCAAATAATAACATTCCTCACAGAAAGGCCTGTGAGTCACCAACAGTGCACCTCCTCTCGTGCACTGGAGAGACGGTGCTGACAGGAATCTTAATTTGCTACTTTAACACACAAGGTTTGATGTTGTATATGTGCGCACGAGCGTGCGTGCCTGCAAGAAGGTTCATTATATCTGCCTGTCAATGGTAAATGCAAAACAGGGGAGACACATTTGGGATGAACTCATTTTGGGCCTAAAAACAGAAACAGAACTTGTATTGTCCTATCTCCCCCATATGTCTTAGAGACACTAAAACTGAAACCCAGACTAACAAAATGATTTTAGGTGAAATAGCAGCTCTTTACAGATTAGTGAGGAACCCTTAAACATAAAAAAGAAGTAGAACACTCCATCATGAAGAATGTTGGGGTGGAATTAATCCCTGTAACCTGCTGGCTATAGCTAAACCAACATATCAGTCTCTTTTAGAGAGTATGCTGTCTCACACAGTTTGTAATGAATATGATGTTTATAAGTCTGCTACTCAATCCTGGGATGAATTCTACAAGAAGTATTAAACTCTAGGGATATCATGATCATGTTTTTCTTTGCTCTGAGCATAACTGGAAGTAGAAAGTAAGTTGAGAAGTATTCAGTGAGTTCATACATTTTGCCGCCACATGGGACGATACCGATAGGACTATGAATCAATGTGTTTGTAGAAAGAGAAACCTTCCACTCACCTCTGGCACTCGCTGGCATGGAGAACCAGGTCCTGGTTGTTCTTGGCGCTGACAGTGAGCTCGTGCTCGGTTGGGTTGAAGATGTCGAGCAGTAGATGACACTGGCGGGTGCTGTGGACAGATGCAGACGCGTGAATTTAGGGAAGAATCAAAATCTCTCTGTTTACTTTAATAAAGCACAGCCTCGTGCACCATTATACACAAACAGGGTGTAGGTCGACTCCGTTGTCTATATAACCTATGCATAATGGCCCGTTTATGTGTATGTGAGTTTATACTTCATGCATCAGGCTGATGATTACTTTCTAAAAATACACGGCCACATACGCCCACGCGCGAGATCAAGAGAAGACACGATGTGAAGTACTCATCGGTCCTTGTCATAACATCAAAAGGTGGTGGTGCTTTCATCAGGCCCACAGGCCCGGCTGAAGCAGGCCGTCTCCACATCATCCCAGGCCTGCCTTTCTCATGCAGATCATAAGAGGGCCAATTTGTGATTTAGATCAAGACAGGAGATGTGATGCTGGATTTTCAAAGAGTTAATTTTAACCCGCAAGTAGGTTTTTTTTTTTTTCCGCCCGTTAATGATGGATGAAAGGAATGAATATCTCAAAACAGAGAACAGAATGTCCAATGTGGTGTTACATTAGTAGTTTATGTAGGTGTACAGGAGGAATGAGACAAGACTCTACATTAAATCATTTACACATAACATACACACTTTTCTTGAAGAGCCTCCAGGGTGAGGACATACTGTACATCCACGAACAGCTAAAACATAAAAGATAATCCAGCACTGTAGTCCAGATACAGTACGGCCGCAGTATTCATATTTATTGATGTGGTGTTATGTATATTATGTTGGCCATAAATACATATTTAATGAACATATATTAGAAACACAAACATGGATACATGCAGCGATATGCGTGTAGTGAAGACATTTGAAAAGAGATACATGATGAATAATACATACATAGATACAAACACAAATGAAATGAAATGAAGGGAAGTGAGGTTAAATGACATCAAGTGAAGTGAGTGAAAACATATTCTGAAAGAAGTTTATATATCTTATATAAACACGTAGAAACATTCATACATAAATCAAATAAAGTTAAGTTAAGTACTGTGAAGTAGAAGTAAAGTGAGCGAATATAATATAATTCGCTCAATTCAGGATCGAGTAAACGCATGCAGAACAATCTGCCATGTTGGCCCCTGAATATGAGATGGCCCCTGATGATAAGAGAGGAAACATGAGATCCTCACGTCCGTCATGCAGCGACAAGTGTTGGGCGTCATTTCGTAGCTTCCGTTGACGATGACTTGTTGACTTCTAATCTATTGGTTAATTTAAGAGGCAGCTCTGTAGAACTGAGTTTCTCCACAAAGAACCACACACAGGCACCACGTTAAAGCCCGTGTTCACCGGAGATGTGCTCAGAGGAAATAAGTCATTAAAAAAAAGATGAATCAACGAAACAAATCTTAGTCAAGGAAGACCAAACGAGCCCTACTGTCGCCAAAAACGTATGAATGTTATTCGACTCAGAGTTTCTTTGTTCGAGGACAGCCCGAGTGTGAATACTACTCGGTACAATATGACCCTGAAAAAAATAATATCCAGAAAACATCATGTCTCATATTTGAGCCAATACGTTATTTTTCAGAACGCCATCACTCACAATAAGTGGAATCAAACTGCAAAAGCAGAAAACAGATAAATTAAACGCTGCCCTTCTCCACATCCTCCCTCCAGGTCACACAAAGCCCCCCCCTCCCCGCCAGCGTATTGCCTCTTAAACCGCAGGGGTTAATGGAGACTTAAATTGAGCTTGCCCAAGTCCCAAATAAACTGCTGTGGCAATTAAAGGAGCATATTTTTGAAGGCCTACCCATGTTTCTTTAATCGTCTTTGTTGGCAGACGTGATTAACGTGCAGAGTGGGGCGAGGTACTGATTTATAGGCCGGGCCGTTGAGCTGAGGTGATCAATCACACTGCCCAGTTAAGAAACACAGGCTCATTGCTCATGCACTAAGTACCGCAGATAAACTGAAGGAAAAGAGCCGGGGATAAGGCACAGACGAGGTGGAGTCGCACCTTTTGATACGAGTTCACAGAACAGCGGTGGACGACTTTGTTCAGGAACTGTTGCCGAGACTTCTACAAAATGTCTGTAGACAAACGCTGAAGATTATGCTTTTGAACCAGAGGGAACTGAATCTTTCAGTATTCTGCTGAGCTACTACGCAGGGCACTGGGATGTAAGCCAAATAAATAATTCAAAACCGCCAATAGGGTTTCAAACAAATTGTCTCCATTTCAGGCTGTGAATTTTTAAATTCCTATTTAGGAGCCGAGTCGGCGAGGGAACAAAGTTATCCAAATTGAAGACATATCAAACCTGCTCCTTTGCTCGTATCTGTGCAAACAAATCATCCATCAACGGAATATCAATACCTCTGCCTCGTGCATTTAATGAAGCACAAAACAACATTGGCTGCATGTGCCGCGTGTGTTTCTCAGTGTAGGGATTATTCAACGTGACCACAACAGGCACCTGAGTGCAAATGAGGAGCCGGTCATGAACACAGAGCAAGACCTTTACTACAGATCATTTCAGGGACAGCTGGTGGTTTAACAAGTGGGGGGGAAGAAAGAGCAAGTTAATGAATGCCACTGTCCATTTCTGACAACACTAGCACACTAACAAATGAACCGGGAGGTCAGCATTTTGCTATTATTGATTTGAAAAGGACCCCGTCGCAGTGGAGTAACTCTCTAATCCTGGCGCCGAGACCACGAGCAGACGTCAATACGAAACCAACAAATACCAGAGTCTCATCGTCTTTCCTCCTGCGTCAACAACACAGAGCAGATCGGCACCGACATTGACGGCGCATTAGTTTGGACCGGGGATATTGTTATTGCGAGGCCGAGGGTGGTAAACATGGCGCACACAGCGTGGGAGGAGGCAACGGCGCAAAGATCAATGGAGCTGGGCCCACGCCTCAGTCAATCCTGCAAATCTGTGATCAATAAGTGCACACAATGTAATGGTCCTAATTAGCCTGGTTTGATTTACAGTACTGTCAATGATGGGCTATTTTTAGCTTTACAGGATCCAATAAGTGACAGTTGACTAACTTAATGTCCACGTTTAAAGATTTAATAACCTGTGAGAAGTAGCTAAAAAATAGATAGTCACCCACTAAAAGGCCAGTTCACCTAAAACTTAGTTTCTCCTTAAACAGTATTTCACAACACAGATAGATTTAGATCCGTTTCCGTTTTAAGAAAGCCGTTTCTGAGACGTTGGCTTCCAGCCCAAAACAATAGAAGTGAATGGAATTATATCTGTAGTGCAGATATAAATATTAAATAAAAGACAAATTTATTTGACGACCCACTCTTTGGGGACGACTGCTCTCGATTATCTTTCTTCAAGAGAAAGTAGTTTGAATACAAAATGTGTCCAGCGACATCTGTTAGCTGAAGGCAACAGAACAGCGGAGGTTTTCCTTCATTTATGAGCTACAAAGTGTTCGAATTACACAATGCTAAAGATGATACACAGGATGACCTTTAATGAAAACACATCAGTTCACTTCCCCCAGCAGAGCAATGTTTTTTTCCTTTTTCCAGGGCAACACCGTGTTAAACAAATGGGATTTTAACAGGTCCCTTTACAGTATGGATCACTGAGTACTTGACACATCCGGGCTCACTTTCCCCAACAGATCTGTCACCTTACATATGGCTCAACGGGAGAAGGCTCATGGGGAGAGAGTAAGTTCCGTAGTGAATATGGCAGCAAAGCAAAACCATAAGCAAGAGGAGGCATTAAAATGTATACCGACGTAAAGGGAGCACAACCGGGGGTATGAGAGAGGAAAAGTAATGAAAGACGTCACGGGAGACCCAGTGAAAAGGAGAAACAGATTAAGATGATAAAGCATGGACAGAGGACCTGAGGAACAACCAAACACAGAGAGAGCATTTAAATAAAATAGAAAATAAGTGTTTCAAGAGAGTCGGAGAGAGAGAGAGAGAGAGAGCACAACAAAAGGAGGGAGAGAGGTGCATGACGATTTAATACACTCCCAGTAGCCCTGTAAGAAATACCCCCCCATCTGTTTCTTTTGTAAGGCCTTGGCTTGTGGTGTTGTAGTGGGTTGTACTGATGCATTATAGAGCACGGTGTTTCTAGGGCTGGGAGCAATGGCCAAAACTAAACAATCGTGATCCTTTAAAGGATTTTCTTTTTTTTTGTTTTGACAATTTGAAATACAGGGTGACTAAAACATGACACGTCATATATTTTAGGACTTTATGTGCAAGACGGTTGAGTCATTCAGTTTGAGCACGGATAGAGCAGAAGATTGTTAACACCAGTTCATTCGCTGTTTGTGCTTCTCGATGAGACGTCAGCCTGATGTTTGCAGGATATTTGCAGATAACGTAGCCTGCTGTTATCTTTATTACGTTTTGACTAGAATAATGTGTACATTAGTGTTTCCAAAACATTTGCTGCTGGGGACTCACTTTTTAAAAACAACAAACCATCACGACCCAGTTCGCAACAGGCCTCATCTATAAATCGTGAGAAGAGCGAATTATTAGAACAATACAAACGTTCAGGCTCTCTCATGTGGCTCAAAGATGTACTGCAGATATAACTTTTAATAAAATATATTACACTGTACATACGAGGTGGTGACAGGATGCTGAGGTACAAACAGAGTCAGGAGAGGAGATAATGTGAGGGAAGAGACAGTGAGATAGAGGTGGACATGGAACAAGAGAAAGGGAAGTAAAGGAGAACGGTAGGAGAAAGAAAGAGTCCCAGGGAGCAAAGGTAGAAAGGTCAGAAAGGGAGTTCAGCAACATATTGTCCAGCTATGAGCGAGCTAGTTGGCTAGCTAGGTGGGAGTTAGCAGGCCAGCTATCTTGTTGGGCTATTGTGGCTGGTTGATGCTAACGTGTCATAAGCTAGCTAGCATGTTTGTGGTTAGCTCGCCAGTGGAACTAGTAAGGTCGGGGCCGAGGAAGCAGTATTTTCTGCAGCGAGATTTGTCTTTGACCTGCAACTGTTGGGTATTTTAGTGACGTGTCACGCACTGCAGTTGGAGGAGAAGCCCAGTAGAGGAAGTGTCCCTGGTGATCCAGCAGTGCACTGCAGTTAGGGTGCCAGGATTCACCACATTTTATGCCAGCTGCCAGCTCAGAGCAGGTCGACGGTGCACTCAGAACAGCCTGCGAGTCCTCCCCCATTTCTGTGCTTTAATTCGTGAAGGCCAAAACACACAAACCCCCCCCCCCCCCGAAAACTTGAATCATGTTTTGTTGACCGTTTCAACTTCACCTCACATTCTTCAACCAGTGGACACGTCCACAGTTTTATTCTGATTATAGCAGCGATGCCAGGAGGGCAGAATAAAGATTAATATCGGATCCTACCAGCATCTGTCATCCACAACAGCTGGCATGGATGAAGGCCTCCCCTTCTGGCGAGGTATGTGTTGCATCTACACTCGCTAATTGGAGTGATGCACATTGTCAAAGCCTTAATTATACATATGACATCCACTGGTTACCTTGATTAAATCTTATATAACCAGCACCAGGCAGGTGCTAAATAACTACACACACACACGTCTGTGTTGTTGTGAAAATCACACCGGATGCATATATATTTAAATATTCTGCATGCGTTGTACTCAAAGGAAAATCCTCAGGACTGTTGGAGACAGTGGTGTCTTTGAAGCCCGTGTCTTCAAAGACACCACTGGACTCGGAAGCTAACGATTAAAACCTTTTGTTCTTTGCGTCGCTTGAACCACCTGTTCCCACATTTATATTCTTGTTCATAAACAGTTATAGGAGCAACATCTTCAACTGCAGTATATTTTCAACATGCAATGTGATGACTTTGGTACAATCTGGTCGTAACTGCATCTCCTTTTTTAAACAAGCATCTAAGAGCATAAACCAGAGCAAAAGTACAGTGCAGAAACAAACTAATACGATACAATAAGTGCTAAGTGGAAGGTTCTGGGTAGTACTTCTTGAAGAGGTGAGCTTCCAGCCTGCGCCGAAAGACACTGCTGTCCTGACGTCAGTGGGGAGTTCATTCCACCACTGAGGGGCCAGGACAGAAAACAGCCGTGACCGGGTCGATCGGCCGCAGGGACCTCTGAGCGACGGGGCAACCAATCGCCCCGAGGCAGCAGGAAAGTATAAAGCAAGAAAGTAAGAGTTTCAGAGGTGAAAGTAAGACTTTACAGGACACAGAAAAATGTACGAGATGTGGAGCAAGATAATGAGACAAGGACGAGAGAAAGAATGGAGGAAGAAGAGAATTAGGGAGAGAGAAAATGCTCATGGATCACAGGGAGAAATTCTTCTTCCTCTCTTTTACTGTAACTACTGTGCCTGTTAACATGAGGGCACAGCAGCTGAAGCACACTTCAGCAACAAGGAACTGGACTGTCAAAAAGAAAGTGTTTTGTATTTTTAAAGAGAGAGAGAGAGAAAGGAAAAAAAGAGAGACAGAGAGAGAGCGAGCGAGAGAGAGAGAGAGGTGGATAGATAGGTAGAGAATGAAGGAATGACTGACAGAGAAACGCAAAAACAGATCGAAGTTGCCGTATTATTGAGCAATTTCATGCAACCACTTCTACATTCCTCTCCGAACTTGCAGCCAGAGAGAAATCCAATATTACTCATCCCGACCAGTAAGGTGTGTTACAGCACTTTAATGTCCGTCCAGGGGAGGAACGCTAACAACTAATGCATGCATGTGTGTGTACGAAGCCTGAGGTTATACAAACCGGATGGTTGTGATTAAATTATAAAACACTCCTTCAGGTCAAGTGAAGCGCTTTACTAAATAAAATATACCGGTGTTATTATTTATCATCATTTTAATATATTTTTGAATGAAAATGAGCATTATCGTTTTAGTATGTTCTTGAGGTTTCTTTAACTGAGGATTTACTGATGTGGGCCTGTGAAACAAGTGATATTAAGATATACAAACAAACATAATCCGATTTAAGATCTGTATGTAATCTCCTTAAACCTCTCCAAGGCATTTCATTTCAACACATCTCAAATGAGATGTGCTTATTACGATGAGGCAGGAAGTGTTACGGGTGCGGTTGAGGTAAGGTCGCAGTGTTGGGACGATGGTATTTCAGCCAGTGCAGCATCTCTAAGTATGCATACGTATCAGCGCTGGGCCAAGATGGATGGCTTAAACTGTAGATATTATCACAGCTAATGATTCACCTCAAGTGGTCATTACTCGGCTACAATCCGTCTCCCTAGCCTGGAGTTTCTTTTTTCATGAGACTTGGGGAGCTGAAAGGTGAAGTGAAGTGAGACACCGGGAATATGTGTGTGTGTGTGTGTGTGTGTGTGTGTGTGTGTGTGTGTGTGTGTGTGTGTGTGTGCGCGCGTGCGTGTGATGGTGTCTGCAGTAATGTATGTGCAGGTAGAAAAAGAATGTGAGAACATGAATAAAAAGACTGAATATCCATTCATCATCCGTGCATGTCTGCCACTATGTGACCAGAATAGCGTTTCTTAGTCCCCCCATGATTGCAGTAATGTCTGAGTGAGTATTGTCGCAGTGGTTAAAGAGAAGGTCGATATGTATTCACCAAATCAAAAGAGAAAAGAAATAGCTGAATTTGTATCACACGCGAGATAAAATGAGCCTTTAGAATCGAGCCGTATCACCTAATTACCAGGACAAGAGCGGCCGTGAGGTCGATTTTTCTTAGCTTTTCTGGCACTCCAATGAAGGTTGAGTATTATTTCTATCTCGTCAGACAATGGCTGGTTTTAAATTAACAAATAAAAAGCCCATACACACAAAAAGTGGCGGGTTTAAATGCTCATCAGATCATTTGCCCTGAGGCAGAACTACCGGCTTTTCGACAGATGCTGCTTTACCAACCCACTCTGAAATAAAGTAACTAAATCATGATTTAATGAATCATTACATGAAATAGCCACGTTTGACCGACTGATTTTGATTCATAAAAGTCAAACCGGCTTGTGACGTGGGGAAAACAACTCTTCCAGCATTTCAGTTTCATTATTCACTTTGTGTTATGACAGCTTCAAGAAAACAGTTCTGCATAGTGGAGGAAAATTAGTCGTTTTTGTGAAAGTGCAGTACAATAATTCAACTGAGGACCAAGAGCAGTGCCCAATACAGAGCGAGGAGAGTGGATACTGGACCTCATGCACAACTTAAAATGGATGTTGCTCTGTGTCTGCTGGATGTGTAGCCTAAACAGAAAACATACCAACTGCCAATGTACTACCCCCAAGTGGCCAAAAGAATATCCCTTAAATTAGGTTAAATTCAAGTGTCAACACATTCCTGAAAAAAAGCCTTCAGGTGGAACAATGTCTTTGTAGTTGTGTGTCACGGCCACTTGTACTTGTATTTATGTACGATTCATCGGGCTGATTCTGACTCAAACAGCTGGATCGGTTATCGGTGACAATGGGCCGATCTATTCGATTCACATCTATATGTAAATAATATATACATCATATACGTACGTTCTGACTAATTCACTGCTGCATAAATGTTGACATTCTGATTGTAATTCAAAGTTAAGAAAACAAAGTTGCATGAACGAATGATCCCGGTCACTTCCTCAAAGCTCGGCATAAGCTAAATGAAACATTGGCCGATACCCAAAGCCCACGTGTTCGCTATGGGTATCTGGACTGAAAAGTCGGATTGGTAAATCCCCAATTATAACTGTGTACATTTTTGATATCTCTCTATTTACAGCCATGAATGTGTTATGAAGTCAAATGTGACAGGAGAAAAAGAAAACTTGGGATTCAAAAGGTTAATCAGCCCATAGCTCACATAAACGCCACTAATAACTTCATTAAGCCACAGACAGCGATGGTCACTCATAGGTTACCTGGTTGCAGGGAGGGTGTTGACTCTGGTGAAGAAAACAGAGGGCTCCACGTCTACATGGACCCCCAAAGACAGCTCCCTGTGGTAGCCCTCCACTTTGCCTGCTCCCCCCGAGTACTTGAAGTTCAGAACGGCTTCCAAAGTCTGCAAAAGGACACGAGACGGTTATAGATGTAGATACGGCTGGTGTGACAGTGTTCTACAATGAAGGGCTGATTCAGCAAGAAAAAAAAAACTGTGATTTCAAAGCCATATCTGTATAGAAGACTGAGTGTGATTAGGGTCAGAGGTCACAGCCTGCATATTGTTTCCTGCAAATCCATCAGCCAAACTGGTCTGATTTTGAGATCGATGCATCAGAAGTCATTACGGTGAGATAATTAACGCACCTCAGCACAGCCAGCTTGCCCTTTAATGAAAAGTATAACGGTGAGAGGGGGGGGGGTAGGATTGGTTAAAGGGAGCATCCAAGGTCCCGCCTTCCCTCCTATGGGGCCTATGTCATCTCTCCACATATTGCTGATGGAGGTACTGGCTTTGCCTTTCCAGAACAAATTTCACTGATCCTTTGATTATTTTCACTCTTTATCCCCTCTTGTGGGGGGTGCAGAGAGCCAAGTGCAATGATTCGGAGCCTGCTGGCTAGACGTCTGGCCTATTACAACCTAATGACGGAGGCACAGCACACCGAGCAAAGAGATGGAAACAGAGAGGATTATTGTTATCGTAGACCAAGCACCTTAATTCTAAAATGTCACTTATTTTGAACTGCATGGGTTTCATTCCACGTTCTTGGTATATTTTTCATGTTATACCTAATGATATTATCGTTCCTTGCCCTGGTATATTTTTAATGCTATTCTTTTTTGCTACGCTAGCAGCATGGCTCTCACATCGCTATACCGCTCTCACAGCTAAATGCATTCTACAACACAAACACAGTTGACAGTAGGTCAAAGTTGTATAAAGACCCTGAACATAATGTCATTAGCATGCTTCTGACTGATGGAATACTTCATAAAGCAACCCTTGATGCAAAGTCTGCAAATTAAAATCCTGATATCCTTCCCTGAAGACTATTTCCCCCATGATCAGTCATCCCTGTGGAGCCGGTCTGCTTCAGAAGTGAAGGCAGAGCAGCAGCCCCACAATGCAGCCAAGAGACAGACATGCTGCGCTGGCAACACAATGAGAGGACAGGCTCGTTGATATGAATCTCATTTGAATTGATTGACTGAAATCTCTCAGATTCCTTGAGCAGTCCCACTGTTTGAAGGCCATTGCCATTAAAGTCTATGTTTTCTCTCCAACAGTGTTTGCTTGACTTGCTCATGTTGGGTAAAGGATAAGGCAGGTGTTTTATCTTTTTAATTAGTGTCAACAAAGCCCACGGAAAGACAAAAACCAACACACGAGTTTATCCTTCCAACAATATTGTCTGTGTTGCCAAAGCCTGATATTGCCACAGAACATTTTCGTCCAAAAACTATTTAAAACACATGAAAATAGATACAATTTGTAACAATAAACAAAGCCAGTGTGTAAATGTATATATTCTGATTTACGTATTTCTATTAATGGTGAGGATTTCTGATATCGAGGGCATACGTTGGAAAAATATTTCTTTCCAGCAAAAGAGTGCTGTGTCACATGCAGCTGTGTGATCCTGGAGCTGCATGTGTGGTACCAATGGCCACAACACGATCCTCTCGAGGAACAGTGATTGTCTCGGTGACACCGGCAAACAGCGGCCGTGCACCCCAATTCCCTTTCCAGACCCCGAGCTCTCCCCCTGCGTTCAATCCTCCCCCCGCTCTGCTCTCCGCCCCCTCAGGATCCTATTTCAATCACACTGGGCTAAAAATAGAACCGGCTGTAATGAGCTGACAGTGTTGTGAGCAGGCCAGCAGCAACACGCGGCCTGACCGCGCACATGCTCTACCTCCACAGGCACGCAAGCAATGTGATCCGTGAGAATGCCAAGAATAAAGTGACAGTTTGATTAAGGCGTTTGCCTCCATCACCAAAAACCAGGCAGCATGAGCTGTTTACATTGATGCATTGTAGCTTGTAGCCAACAAGCAAACAGGAAATAGAAGGAAAATAGGAAATGGAGGGACATGGGATTTGACTTTATTCTGTAATTTCGACGAATGACGTACAATTGTCGAAATATGACAGCTTGCATCCTTTAAAGCTACACTATGTAACCTTTCGGGTACAAGCGGTAGTTACATGATAATGCAAAATGCTACCGTTTAGCATTTAGCTAATTATAGTGGAGCACATCAGAAAGTTCGCAATACATTTTGTTAAAACAATAAGCTACTCGTCTTACCAGACAAAGTGAATCTTTGAGCAGCGGTGTGTTTTACTTCTTTGGGATTCAACTTTCAATATTTTAGTGGAAGAGGTTGTTATTTCTTCTCACCAAAGTTGAATCGTCTCGCTGAAAGATATCTCAAGGTTACCACTGATGTGGAGACCCGCTATAGGATGTCCAATTAGAACTGGCACAGTTACTATACGTTGAATCACACACTCGGTCAATTCCACTTGAAAGGTTTCACATTGTTACCATGCACTGAAGTTCCTTTATCGCTCCCAGAAGAACAGTATTGGCATCGGCTGGTGTCTCCACTAGCCTTTGTTCTATCTTTTTTTTTTTAAATGCTTATGTAATCTGAGCTTCGAGCTAAGCATCACAGACATGACACGGATAGCAGACTCGCAGTGATAGACGGGCTTTTACCTTGAATGCCTTCACTCAATATTTGTTTTGCTGTGTCACAACAAAGCCTCCGTGGACCATCCATCATACCCATCCATACAAATTATGAAGCATTTGTTTTGACAATGGAGGTGAATTCCCAACGTCAAACACACAGTTTTCTCTCTCTTGCACATGAAGGGTGAACAAAAAAACAGAAAGAAGAGGAAAGCTAAAGGCTTTTTGGATGCTTTGGCACTGGGATAAAGATCCTGACACATCTTGCGGACACATCCCAGGGACAGGGAGGTACATACAGGGAGGAGTTTAGTAACACCGGCGCGATGTCTCGCTAAGGTGTCTCAAACTATTTAGCATTTCACTTTTATGCTGTCACACTGAGAATAATAGATACATATCAATTTAATCAGTGCATAATAGAGAGGCAGCTCCTTGAAAGATTAGCTTGGCACAACAACTGGAAGGATTTAAGTAACATCCACCTGAGGGACAGGAATACGCTGAACAAACTACACTCAGTTATGAGCTCCTTATGCATTATTATGCGTTCTCTATGCTTTAAGCATTTTCAAAGTCTTTATTGTATGCACTGAAACCTACACAGTTTACCGTTTACAGCGCGTAACAGCCACCACATTATACTGTGCATTACCATCCCATAAGTGCCCCAGAATCAAAAGAGAAATGACAAGTGTGTGGTCTTATAAGACCACCTCTGTTGTAGAAATAAGATTACTGAGAAAATATATTTTGGGTCTTTAAAGGTTTTTGGGAAACATGTTTATAAATGGAACATAGTTGGGCGACAGGTTCCCACTGGTCATCTAGTTCTCATTTTTTTTAAAGATTGGAGTGGCCTCTACTAATAAGTGTGTTGTAGTGATATCATTGCCAACAGTGATATCACAACAACACACATATTAGTAGAGGCCACTCCAATTGTCTCTGGCAGACAGGACAGATGCAGTAAAATAGCTTAAACCATGGACGATGTGATACACGCCATGACCTGCTGGCCCCGGACCAAACGGGATGAAACCACGTCTTGGACCTAAATCAGGGCCATTGGTGCATTTGGAACCCGCCACAGAGCCCCCATTGTCAGAACTGGTCTACATTCATCTTTATGCACCACTTATTCACAGTGTAGGGAGGCTCCCACGTGACTGGATGGTGTATTGATCTCTAAGGGCCTAATTGCGGTAGGCTAATTGCAAACTCAGCTTTATTTGTGTGCTCAAAGTCCTCACTTAGTGCTTCCTGTTTGCATTTCATGTTTATAATACAGTTTGTCCAAAGCACGACATCGTTTAGCCCCATTTTGTTATTTAAACTCACAGGACACACACCTGTATATTAATGAACATATAAAAATACTTAGTGGTTAATGGATCTTTGAATAAAGACAAACCGACTTGAGGTTGCAAGAGAACAAAGGTTTGAATATAAAATGACTTTTTGCACTTCTGATGAGTCAGGAAAGTCACACGCAGCTAATGGAGATAATTGTAAAAGCAAGAAATAGAATTTCACCTCGTCACTTCCACAGTCTCAGCAAAAGCCACAGTAAAAGGCACCGGTGTGAGACACTATTACCTCCCTGCAGACAGACAAATTGGAAATGGAGTAAAGCCGCCGTTAATGGGTGACATGTACACTCACTTACAACATCAATTTCTCCGTCTGCTTTCAAAAAACATTTATTTTTCCCACCTTAATCTGGAAAGATATGTGACGAATTACATGTTGCACCAGCAACACGTTCTCTCTTCTATCACTATCTAGCCATGGATCCCAGGTGTTTGTGTTCTCAGGAGGTCTTCCATCATATCCGGGACAGCTGGTTGAACGGTGGGTAGACAAGAGGGTCACAGTGTACTTTGATGATGTGATGAAATGGAAGTCTGTGTGCCTAATTGTCCTTAAAATGAGGCTTGACCCCTGCTCAGGTTGCATCTGCCTAGTGGCAGGAAAGCGAGCCATGAGCCGCGGGAGCCATTTAGTCGCCAGCGGCAGCCTCGGCTTCTGCGGGGAACTGAGGAATGACTCGAGGGCATTGGTATGCAGCGTGGATCCATTAGGAGCGCTGCTGGGACTGACTTTCATATGTACACCCGGCTGTCAATCACTAAGCCAATCAACTGGGCACCCCAGGGTCCGCACATGAGGAGAAAACGGTAGGAAGATAAACAGTGTCCTGAAGATAGCTTTACATCTAGCTGAGGACGTGATATACGGATCAAAAGGAGCAAATGAGACCACCACACTGCCTTCCATACAATGTTTGAGATAAATCTTCTTTTGGGTTTTGTCCGTCTGCTTCTGAGACGCACTTCCGTGATATCCGCGGCCTTGAGAAAAGCTTTGCATCAATGATTGATGAGAGAAGAGGGCAGGAGGGCTGATGAGAACG